GGGATAAAAGAGTTTATATAAAGTTATTATTATAAATAGCTATAATATAACCTTAAATATATTAAATAAAGCTATAATATTTAAGTTAATAATTATTTAACTATATTATTAAAATAATAATAAGAAAATGCAACCCTTATAAGTAAAAAACCTAGCTATAAAACCTTAAATGCAACTTATTATATAATTATTATTATTAAAAATAAAAAATTATATTATTATATTATATATCTTAAAAAAAGAAAATAAAAATTATAATTTAATAATTAAATTAAGATAAAATAAAGTTATTATAATACTAAGCTTATTATTTAAAGAATTTAATAAAATGAAAATTAATAACCTTATTATTAAAGGTATTTTTTAAACTAAGAAATAATTAGCAAAGCAATATAATAAATATTATTTTTTTAAGTTTTATATAATATAAAAGGTAAAAGGTAAAATTATAAAACCTTATAAGAAATTTTAATTTATTATTTAAGGTTATAATAATAATAAAAAGGAATTAATTTTAATGCAAAGCTTAATTATTTAAAGAATAAGCTAATAAATAATTTTTATATTTATTTCCTTATTAATTTAAGAAAAAGGCATAGTTTTTATACTTTAAAATATTATTTAAGCTTATTCTTAAGTAAAATTAAAATTATATAAAATAATTTTTATAAAGCTATTAAAGAAATTAAAGAATAAATACCCTTTAGGTATAATTATTTATATTATTTAATCTTTATATAGCATAGCAAAATTTAATATTTATTAATTTAATATATATTAAAGATATTATTAATAAAAGCTTAAAATAAACTGCTTTATATATAATCCTTACTTAATAATTATAAAGCTTATATAATTCTTTAAGATAATAAGTATATAAATAAATAATATATTAATTTTATTTATGCTAAAATTTTAAGATAAGGAGGAAATTAAAATAAAAGCTATAAAATTATAAAGAAAATTAAAATAAAAGTTAATGCTTAAAAACTTAATAAATTATAATAAAGTTTATATAATTATAAATATTATTAACTTAATTATTATTTAATAAAAGGGATAAGTTAATAAATTTACTTTTATTAATGCAATAATTAAAGATATTTCTTAAAGATATCTTAAATAAAAAGCCTGCGAAATATATATAGCTTTAATTTATTAATTAAAAGCTTTATATAATCTTTTAATGGCTGCATAGATATAAAACTTAAAGGTAGGAAATTATAAAAGCTTAAATATATAATTATTATGGTAAATAGATAATATTATATAAGGAATTAAGTATATACCTTTAAATCTTAAAATAATAAAACTTTTTATATTTATAAATAAATTATTTATAAATAATTAAAACTTAATATTTTAACTTAAATATATTATTATTCTTATAAATAAAACTTATAAGGAAATTAAAGGATTTATAATAATAAGTAATATTCTTTATTAATTATTAATAAAGTATAAATATATTATTTAAAGCATATTAATAAGTAAAATTTATAATATAATAAATAAAGTAAATATTAAAATCTTTTTAGCTATAATAATTAAAATAGCTATAAGATAACTCTTATTATTAAATATACCCTTAATTATTTATATAAACTTATATAGCTTATATAAATACCTTATAAAGCTAAAAATAATAAAGAAAAAGCGCTTTATAATTAATATTATATTATTATAAAAATTATATAAAATAAAAGAAATTATTAAAATAAAGTAAATAAATAGGAAAGATAACTTTATTAATGCAATAATAAAATTAACTTTAAATATTGCATTATAAAAGCTTATTAATAATAATAAGCTTTATATATAGGTAAATAAATTAATTAAGAAACTTAAAGTAGCCCTTTTTTATTAAAAAAGGAGCAACTTACTGTTAATACTTTTTTCTTTTTAACTTTATTGCCGTTAATTATAAAACCTTATATTTTTTAAACTTAAACCCTTAATATAAACTTTAACCTTTTATACTTTAATTAAAATCTTTTTAATACCTTATTATATATAAAAATAACCTTATAATTATTAATATTATTAATAATTATTATTTTAAAGTTAACTTTATTATTATTATTACTTTTTGCTATTATTTATTAATAATAATATTAAAATTAACTTTTATTAAATTTATTTATAATTTATTAACTTTTCTTATAATTAAAGAATAAATTAATAATTATTGCATAATAATTATAAAGTTTTACATTATAAATATTTATTTTAATTACTAAATTCCTATAAAATCTTTTTCTTTTTTATTATAATAAAAAATATTAATAATAATTTATAAAAGTTATTTAATACTTTTATTAATATACCTTATAAAAATAATAATAATAAGCAAAATTATTTAATAAATATTATATTTATTTCCTATGTTAAGAATATACTTAATATAATCATTATTATAACTATTATTAATATAGCTAACATTAAAGGTAGCTTTATTATAATTATTAACTAAAATTAAGATTTCCCTATAAATATTATAATTATAACCTTAATTAATAAAATAAGCTTTATAATTATAACCTTAATTAATAAAATAAGCTTTATAATTATAATCTTAATTAATAAGATAAATATTACAATTATAACCTTAATTAATAAAATAAATATTATAATTGCATTTTTATTAAGCAATAAGATAAAGATTAAAATTATTATTAAGATTATAAGAAGGGCTAAAATTGCCTTAATTAATAAGGATAAAGATAAGCTTATTAATTTTATTAATTCTTATAATAAAGTTATTATTAATAATGCTTATTTAATAAATATTAATAAAGATATTAATAATAATAACTTTTATTTACTTACTTATTTAATAAATATTAAAAAAAATATTAATAATAATAACTTTTATTTATTTAATATTAATAATAATTTAATTATTATTAATAATAAAGATAATTAAAATTAAGCTAATAAAACTTTAATAAAGATTATAAAGATTACCTTTAACTTTACTTTTATATTAAGCATTAAAAAGAATAAGCTACTTATTAAGGTTAACTCTTATGGAATTATTAAAATTAATAAGCTAAAGGCTATAATTATAACTTAAGTTAAGATACTTTTTTTAAATAACGTCATTATAATAATTATTATTTAAATTATTAATAACTTTTAATATTAAGATAAGTAAATATTTTTTAATAATATAATTAAAAAGCTATATATTTATATTAAAAGCATTAAAACTTTTAATATAAAATTATATAGCATCTTTAATAATAAGAATTATTAAGATAATTATTATTTTAAATACTAAATTATTATAATTTTTATAATAAATAACTTAATAAGAATTTTAATCTTAAGTATTTTTTATATATATTAAATTAAAAAGATTTAACTATTAAAGGATTAAATTGCTATGCTAACCTAGCTTTAAAACTTTTTATATTAAATTATTAATAAATACATATAAGGCTTATATATAAAAAAACTTATTAAAAAATATATATTATTATTTAAGCAACTTAAGTAAAAAATAATTATTGAGAAAATTAAAAAAAATAATAAAAAGTAAGAAAAGAACTTAATAAATAATTAAGCTGCTTATAATACTTAGTTTTAAAAAAATAAAAAGTAATTAAAGGAAAATAATTTAAAGTAATATTAAGTATATTTTAATAATAAAAATAAGAATAAAGATAATAATATTTATATTATAAAGATATATAATAAAAATAAATATAAGTTAAAAGGTTTAGCATTAACTTTATAGGCATTAACTTTCCTTATAAAAAAGAAATTTAAAATTAAAGCCTTTATATAAAAGTTAATAATCTTTATAAAAAAGTAATCTTAAAAGCTAAGTATTAAAAATAATAAATATAATATTTAAGGAATAATATAATAATAAAGATTATAAGTTTAAAAGGTAATATAATAATAAGGGTTATTAAAACTTATTTTAAAACTTATAAGTTATAATTTTAAGCCTTTTTAATAATGCTTTTTTATAATAAAGATTATATATATTTAATATATAATGAATTATAATTTTAGGGCTAATTATAATAAGAATTATATATACTTATTAAAAGAAAAGAAAAACTATAAGTATTAATAAGTATAACCCTTATTACTTAAAAGGCTACTTTAGTTATCCCCTCCGGGGTACGTAGCCTTTCAGAACTTAGATAGAATAATATCAATACATAATTGCTTCCCATATGATTATCATATGTACGAGAGACCTACCAACAGATGCAGTGTGATCACTCGGTGTCTCGAGAGCTGTTGTCAACTCTTCCCCTCAAATGATACTACTTGGACTATAGCAACCAACCGACTGGGTATTGTAGCTGAGGTGATGGGATGCGGAAATATCGCCGTTTCCCCACCTGCGTTTATCTGATGATAATCGCAGGTTGTCGGGCCGGACGGTGGATAAGTATCTCCTACAAATCGTTGCCATCGGCTCTCACTCATCGGCTATGGGTAGGCTGGGAACCAAACCGTCGGGATTTGATCCCACATGCAGGATGCACTGGATGCTGGATATCAAGACTTTAAGTAGAGGCTAGCCAATACGTGATTGATACCCTGGTAATACACCATCGCCTCCATGATCACAATTTCCTACAGTGGATCTGTGTCTTTCCCAGGGGAGCCTGATCAAAATGATTTTGAGCCATTGCTGATATTTCGGGAGGGCCAGGGCTACATATGTACAGGATCAATTTGTTGCATGCCTAAGGTGTAGGGGATGCCTGGTGGGCTCTTGAGTTCAGGTGCTGTATCCTTGGCCGATCGGTCAAGAACCCGCCGACGATCACTCCCGACTGGCCACCATACCGACCTCGGTCCTAGCTCTCCTGAACCGGGACCGGACACATAGGAAGCTTGCTCTCAGTCACTGGAGCTGAGGGACTTCACAATTGTCCGTCGGTCTGCGCTGCTCGATACCTGTATAAGTCTCCAAGAATCGAGTGAAGGTTGTCGGCCAATCAACACTAGGTTTGCTCAAACTTTTCAACATGACGGCATCATCAGTCCGAGAGAACGGCGCCGCAGCGGTTGACCCCAGGGCATCCAAGGAGATAGCCAGCATCGCAACGCCGACGATGGAGCTGGTTGGAGAAGAGGCGAGGTCAACTGACCCCAGCGTGGAGAAGCGCGTTCTCAGAAAGATCGACCTCTTTCTCATGCCAGCTATGGTCATTGGTGAGCTTGCCAAGATTGTCTTGAACACAGCTCTGCAAGTCACTAACACCGATGTGCAGGCTACGGTCTGGTCTACTACGACAAGGCTATTCTGGGAAGCGCAGCGCTCTTCGGCATGACGGCTGACCTCCAACTCTCGGTGACGGATGCTTCGGTCAGCCCACCCAAGGTAGACACCTCGAGGCTCAGCTGGGCCACGTCCATCTTCTACTTTGGCCAGCTTGTCGGTTCCTATCCCATGACCTATGTCCTGCAGCGCTTCAACAACAGGTATATCCTCGGTCCTGCCGTCATGCTCTGGGCCGTGATCTGCGCCGCCACTGCTGGAGTGACAACTTGGCAGGGCCTCCTGGTGCAGCGATTCTTCCTCGGTAAGGCCACACAAAGACGCCTTTGCTCTGTGGAACTACCGAGCATTCCAAGCTTACCAGAATCAATCAGGATTTACCGAGTCGATAGTTCCTACAGCTTTCATGATCACCGTCAGCGGGTACTACACCCAGTCCGAACAGGCCCTGCGGCAAAGCTGGTGGTTCTCCGGCACAGGCTGGTTCACTATCATCGGCGGTGGCCTCAACTACGGGTTTGCGCAGATCGACGGCGCTCTCAAGCCGTGGCAGTATCTCTACATCTTCGCCGGTGCGCTGACGTTCTTGTTCGGACTATGGTGTTTTGCATTGCCAAACTCTCCCCTGGACGCATGGTTCTTGACCTCCGAAGAGCGCCTTGTTGCCATTGAGAGGCTGCGGGCCGGTCAGACGGGTGTAAGGAACCAGACGATTAAGGGGCGCGCAGATTAAGGAGGCGTTACTAGATGTGAAGATCTGGCTGGTTGTGGTAATGATGGCTGCTGCGTGAGTTCCCCGCGATCCTCGATTACCTGCCTAGTCACACTTGAGGTTTCTAAGCTAATGGATGCTCTAGATACACGGTGAATGGGGCTGTGTCTGGCTTCGGGCCACTCATCGTATCGACATTTGGCTGTTCTTCATTAGAGAGTATACTGTTTCAGTTCCCACTTGGTGCCATCAGCGCAGTCGGCATTACTCTTACAGGATGGATATGCTCCCACCGCAACATCCGAATCCCGCTCCTGATCACCTGCTGTCTCCCTGTCATCGCAGGCTTCATTATCATCTGGAAGTCAGAATGGGGATATCGTCCAGCTGCTCCGGTGGTGGGATATTCAATCATCGGTTTCTTTGGGCCGGTCGTCGGTTTGACCATTGCCCTCGCGGCGGGCAATGTGGCCGGCGAGACGAAGAAGAGCTTTACGGCGTCCGCTGTTTTCGTTGCATACTGTGTCGGCAACATCATTGGGCCCCAGATGGTGAAGAGCCAGACCAAGAGCCAGCACTACCCCGAGCTGTGGACAGGTCTGACCATATGGTATGTACATCGCACTTTGCCAGATTGAGGGACCTGGCTAATCAATGACGATTAGCTACTGCATTACCATCGTCTCTGCCTCTGCAATCTATCATATTCTGCACCGAGAGAATAAGAAGCGAGATGCCTTGGGCCTGGATGAAAGTGAACGAGATAGGTTGGCTTTTAAAGATTTGACGGATAAAGAGAACTTATATTTCAGATATGTCCTATAGGCGTATTCGAGAGATACTCTTCGCTGTTGTACAAATTACAATCACACAGACATAGCCAATATGTGTATACATTCGGGTCGAATAGCTATATAGGCAGTACGTAATTCTAATTCTTCTAATCTCCAACTTAAGAATAATAAGAAGACCACGATCTTAGTGTTTGATCCAAAATCCCGGACATGCACAAAGGACCTGAAATGGGGCATCATAAGATTTCCCCCCTGGTAGCTTATTAGTGCGGGTCTGGGAAGCCTCACGCTGCTGCATAGTGCATATGCGGAAGACCTCTAGCTCGCGATGGCGTCTTTGTTGGTAGGTCTCTCGTACATATGATAATCGTATGGGGAAGCAATCGTTTTATTGGTATTGTTCTGTCTAAGTTCTGAGAGGCTACGTGCCCCGTAAGGGATAACTAAAGTAGCCGTTTAAGGGCGAGGGTTATACTTGTTAATACTTATAATTTTTTTTTAATAAGTATATATAATTCTTATTATAATTAATTTAAAATTATAATTTATTATATATTAAATATATATAATTTATATTATTATAAAGTATTATTAAAGTAACTTAAAATTATAACTTATTATAAATTTTAAAGTAAATTTATAATATCTTTATTATTATATTATTTATTTTTAATTAAAAGCTTATTAATTTTAATATTTAGCTTTTAAAATTGCTTTTTATAAAAGTTATTAATTTTTTTTAAAAAGGCCTTAATTTTATCTTTTTTCTTTATAAAATTAATATTAACTTTTTTAACTTATATTTATTTTTATTATATATTTTTATAATATAAATATTATTAAAATTATTTTTATTCTTTTTATTATTAAATTAAATTTAATATTACTTTAATTTATTTTCCTTTAATTATTATTTATTTACTTAAAATTAAATATTATAAATAATTATTTTTTATTTAAACTTTTTAAGTAATAATATATATTTATAATAAATCTTTTTATATATAAGCTTTATATATATTTATTATTAATTTAATATAAGAAATTTTAAATTTAATTTAATATAATAATTTAAACTTTTTATTAACTTAATCTTTTTAATTTAATATATATAAAAAATATTTAAAATTAAAAGTTTTATTAAATTATTTATTATAAAAATTATCTTAATAATTTTTATTATTAAAAATATTATATAATTTTATATTAAAAATTTTAATATTTTTAATATAAATACATAGCTTTTTAATTATATAATTAAAAAAATATTTACCTATTTTAATATTAAAAATTATTAATAATTTAAATAATAATAAATATAATTATAATTTTTAATTTATTAATTTTAATAATTCTTTAAAATTTAAGCTTAATAAATATTTTATTTTTTTAATGCCCTTTATAATAATAAGTTTATTAATTTTTAAGGTAATTTTTATATTTTTTATTAAAATTTTATTAACTTAATTTTAATTATTTTCATTATTAATAAAAATTAAATTATTATTAATATTTATTAAATAAATATTAAAATTAATAATATGGCAGTTACTTTAAGGTATAGTTAAATGATAAGTATGGGCGTTAATTAACTTTAATTTAAGGGTTTTTAGCAAGGGTTATTTAAGGGCATTGCATGCCTTATTTAATTAATATATAATTATAAGGCTTATGCACTTTATTAATAATGCTTATAATGCTATAATATTAAAAAAAAGGAAAAGTTATATTAAAATAAAGTAAAAATAATAATAATTATTTACTTTATAACTTACTTATTAATTATTAATAAAAAGTATTATAATGCTTATTATTATAATTTTTAATTAACTTTATAAATATTTATTTATGAATAATAACTTTAATATAAATATTATCATTAACATAAAGCACTAATAAACAATGCATACCAGCGAGCAACGCACTTTTCCTGGAACTATTATAATGCATTTTATAACTGCGTTTTCTTGCATTATATTTTAAAATAAATAAAATAAAAGAAGATAAAATTAAACTTATTATTTAAGCTTTTTAAAATAACTTAAAATTAAGTAAATAATATATAGCCAATATTTATTAAGTCCTTAAGTCTACCCTTTGCTATAAAATAACTGGCTAAACTATATAATGTAATACTTATCTTAATAATAAGAGATTAATAAAAATAAAAGAGAAGGTACTTATATAATATGTACTTAATTAGGATTCTTAAGGATACTTGTTTATTTTTAAGGATGTTAAAGATATGGCGAATTCCCTGCTTTATAATTAAGGCGGCGACGCTATTAAGATTAACTAAGTAAAAAAACTTATTATATTAAAATTAAGCCTTAAAATATGCATTAATCGCGCTTATAATTATAAAAGGGCCCTATATAAAGATCTTAATATAATAAATGCATAATTTAACTTTATATTTAATATGCATAATAAATATAAAATCCTTAAATATAATATATATAATTTTAATAAGTTTAGGTTTATAATAAATATTAATTTACTTAAAATAATAATTATATATTTTAATTAGCAAGGATAAGCAAAGTAAATATAGCTTAAAAATTAGCAATAAGTAATAGCTATTAAATTTATTAATAGGGATAAGTAGTATAAACTATTATTTTTAATTATTAAGGCTAAGATGCATTTTATAAGTTGGTATATTAAGGGTAGGCTTTTTAATAATTAAGTTATTAATATAAGCTTAAATAAATAAATAATTAATTAAATTACTATAAAATGAATTTAATACTTTAAAAAATATATTGTATTATATATAAAGGGTGTTTATTAGCTATTAATCCTTAATAAGCATAAAAGCCATTATTCTATGGATTTTAAGCAATATTGCAAGGTAAAGAATATTATTACTCTTTGCATACCCCCTTATTTATCTTATTTACTTTAGCTACTTAATATTAAGTATTTTAGCTTATTAAAGCAAGCATATAATGTAGAAATAACTTAGTTTAATAAGGCTTAAATTACTTATATTAATAAAATAAAGTTCTTCCTTGCCTTTTACGTTATATATAAGAAGGTTTTTAAGTTAAAAATTATTAAGGGGGCTTTTAAAGAAGCAGGTTTAATTCTATTTAACCGGAAAGCTATACTTTTTAAGCTAAATATTAAGATTTAAATATTAATAGCAATATTAAGCTCCTTATTTTTATTTATATCTTAAGTTTTTTAAACGCTATATAACTTAATATAAGCAGTTTTTTAATTAACTTTAATTAAGGACTAAATCTCTTATTATTAGGAAAGCTTTTTAATACTAATTTTATTTATAATTAACTAGTTATTAAAGGGTATATAATTATTAACTTATGCAATATCCCTGCTAACTTAGGAAAACAAAACCCTATAAGAGGTAAATGCAATACTTTTAAAGTATTAAAGGGTTAAAAGAATATATATATAAAATAAAGAAGCATTTAATATATAAAAGGCTAGTTAATTAATTAATAAAAAGGAAAAGGAAAAGCAGCTAGCTAATGAAATAAGTAGTAGCGTTAATAAGGCGGTTTGCAGCGAATCGCTAAAAAGATAATATAATAATTACGGCAAGATTAAGCATAATATGCAAACCTATAAGAAAGATATAAAATTATTTATAAATTTCAATTTTAATTAAATTTAATTAATTTTTTTTAGTTGTAGTGTTATAATTTATATTATTATATTATTAGTATTAAAAAGTGCGTTGCTTGCTGGTATGCATTGCTTATTGGTGCTTTACGTTATATAAATTAATTAATAAAGTTATTTTTTAAAAATAAATTATTAATAAGGAATAAGGTTAATAATAATAATTTAATAAATTTTAATTATTTAAAAGGTTATTATTTTTAAGAAAGGCTATTAATTAATAGCATTATAATAATTATAAAGAATATTATAAATTATATAATATAAATATATAAGTTACTTTATTATTTATTATACTTAAAGGGTAATGCTTTTAATGTTTTAAGCTGTAATGCTGCTTATATAAGTAACTATTTATTTATTATTTACGGATTTATACTTATTAATAATATATTATAAGGAAAGAGTTTTATATAAATTATATTTTTTTACTTAATAAAAGCATTTTTAAAGTAGCTTAAAGTTATATTAAGTATAATATATATTTTTAATATAAATTTTATTTTTATTTCTTTATTAATAATAATAAGCCTTATTAATTATATTAATTTTTAATAAATTATATTATTAAGTTTAAGTTTTATAATTATATATTTAAAGCTAGTAAAGGTAAGAAAAGTTATTTTAAGGATTGCTTTCTTAATAATTATTATTATTTAAAGCTTGCTTATAATGCTTATAAGGGTTATGCTTATAATTATTATAATAAAAGTTATGCTTATATTATTTATAATTATTATTTTTAAAGTTATATATAATATTTATTAATATTTAATTTTAAGGTTAATAAGATATTATAAAGCTTATTTTTAATTTATTTTAACTTTTTTTAACTTAAGTTATAATAATTAATTATAATATTATAAGTTAACCTTAAGTATTTATTAAAAGGTACTTAAAAGGAATTATAAATTATAATATTTAAAAAGTAAGTTAAGCCTTAAAAGGGCTTAACTTTAAATTTATCTTTTAAATATATACCCTATTACATAAAAGAGTTAAATGCAATATAAGCTTAATATAAGCATATATTATAACTTAAGTAATAACTTAAGCTTATTATATAACCCCCTTCCCGCTTTTATATTATATGTAGCAAAGATTAAACCCAGGGCTTTTATAATATTATATTAATTATATATTTATTATATATATAATCCTTTATTAATATATTATAATTACATATAAGCTAT